ATCAGAGTGTCATTCCTCCCGGACTCTTACTGTGTTCCCTGTCTCATCTTGACCAGTCCGGCAGAAGACCGCCATGTTGAGTCTGGTTCTGCCAGTGGTTTCTTCCCAACGGGGAGTTTTTCCTCTCCACTGTCACTTCATGCTTGCTCATCATGGACAGGTTCTCTCAACCTGTGTTACCCAAACTGGATTTCCATCTTCCAGGTCCCTGAGTGAAGCTCTAGCATCAGCTCACACAGTCCACTGGATCTCCCCATAAAGCTCTGCATATCGTCTCGCTAACCAGCAGTCTACAGACTGACCAACTTCATCTTTCTCCACTCCACCACCAGTTTCAGGCCTGGGGGGAAACAGCCCTATTCTTTGCTTCTGTTCATGCATATCTATCAAAATTCAGTGCTGTGTTTCCTGCTGAGGTCTGAGCCCCAAAGACAAAGTCATTGTATCAATAAATTTCTCCTAATTGTCTTTTCTCTTCGTATAAGTTTTTCAGATTGAACTGCTTTTCAAAGGTCCTCAATGTCCAAAACTAACATCAAGGTTTACCCCTATATACAGGCCCTTTGACTGGATACTAGATTGTAGACCCCAGCGATGTAAATTAGTGGAAACACCATGATTTATACATAATGTTCCATCTATTCTAGGGGTACCAATTGTTGTCCAAGCCTGTTTCATGAATTTATTTATTTTATTTTATTTTTTTATTGTTCTGTTGAAGCATGTTTGAGAAGCAATGTCTTTCAAAAGACTTTGTTCATTTTAATAGAATTATTTTATTATAACTTTTGTCAGATTCAAGTTATTTCTGTGACGATTGTTTTTTTTCCCCTTCAATTAAACGAGGGATACAAACGTAATAATCATATAGTTAATTTAACAGCTCAATAGAAATGTAAGCCATGTTAAAAGGGACTCGTTGCATATTTTCAAATCTTTTTCAATACAATTTTTTTTTTTGCTTTTATGCCTACACTAATATGCAGCCATGTTCTATTTTACTTTAGTCATTCCTTTCCACTTTTTTCTTCTCTTTTCTTTTTTTTGTGTGAAAATTATCATTTATAGCTAATATGCCACTGTACAGTTTGTTCCGTTTAATATCTGTTTCTAAACAATTGTTCCAGCCTGGTAATAGCTTATAAACAGTTACTTAACATATTAATTAATGCATCATCTCATACGCACTCGGCAGTCTTTATTATCTGTAGTTTTTACGCTGATGTTTGGAGGTAGTAACAGATTGTTTTGAAATAGGATGGGTTTTTCAGTCAGAGTGTGCAGACACGCTGCTGGATGGAGAATGAGGCTGGATCTACAGTCGTCTCTTGAGAAAGATGCCTGGTAGTGATCAGAGGGGGGCCTTTGACAGTCCTCTCTGCGATCCCGACCACTCAGCAGGCGCTGATGGCTTCCTGCAGTGCTGTCTCTGTACCACACTTTCATGCAGACAGTGAATTGCTCTGAGGCATACAGACATTGAATTTTGTAAGAATGTTTTTCCTCCTCTTTGCTAAATATTCTGTCTCCTTCTTTAGAGAGCAGAGCTTCTGCTGAGTCTTGCTGACCAGCTGCTTGATCATTCAAGACCTTCACTGACACAAAACACCAGAGTATGAATATACCCAGATGGAAAAAGAAATAAAAACAACAATTAAAAAAAGAGACATTCGGCCAACTTCACTTTATGTTTCATATATTGCACATAATATAAGGCTTATATAATGATCACTTTTGCATTTATTTTATACAATATCATATAATGAATTTCATGAGAGCCATGTGAAAGCTTTGTGTGTGATCACCCTACGTTTTCCATGTTTTTTTTTTGTGTAGATTTTTTTCTATGTTTATTTAAAACACTGATATAATAATTTCTATATACTGTATGACCAGTTACCATTAACTGTAGTTTTTTTGTATGTAAAGTAAAATAATAATCTTAAAAGCAATGCACAAAATCAGGCCAGGGGTTCTCCAATTAGAACTGAACCAAGCTATATGTCAAACATGCCCTTTCCTATAGACTTTCACAGTGTTAGAAATGCAACTACTAAAATGCCTTCTCAGGCTTGATCGTATGTACTTTGGCTATTTCTCTCACTGCAAAGCAAACTTCTTTCTTTCAACTCTTTGGTAGAGCTTATTTGTGTACGATGCATAGTTGTCCTGTGAACAGGTTTTTCCCATCTGTGGATCTCAGCAGCTCCTCCAGAGTTACCATGATGAATGCTCTCCTTAGACAGGGCAGTTCAGTCTTGTCTGAGATCTTCCGAGCCTGGGATGTAGTTTCCTCACCTAACTGCTTTAAAATCTAACATTGGCTATGATTGGTTATATCTGATGTGACAAATCCACATCAGATTCCATTTTTACTTGTGAAAAGCTGTATAATTATAGATCATTATCCTTCAATTTTAGCTGTTTACTACTCTATGCTGATTTTTCACACAAAATTCGATTACATTTTTTTTCAGTTTAGTTCATTTTATTTCAAACAAGCAAAAACAAAAGACAGTGAAAGAGAGAATTTGGAGCAGGAGGTTTTTTCCAGACACAAGGCTCCTGAAAACAAGATTGTAATTGAATACATTATTACATATTGTTATCATAATTTAAAGTTCATGCTCAAAAAGGAGTTCCAAAAGTATTTACAAATTCTAAAATTCCAAACAATGTACCTTGTTTATTCATAAAAACTGGTTTCATCACTCCTATGATTTAAGGAAATATAATTTCTTTATACTTCCTTACATAAAAGAAAATAATTTCCTCATATTTCTCTTTAAACATGTTTTTCTCGTTGTCCTCACACCCACACACTTAAAGTTACGTTTATATCACATTTGTATTCCTTTCCTTTCAACTAAATGTTTTTTTTTTAATATAAGGTAAGAACTTTATTTTAGCTTTGAAAACTAATTGAAATGGTTGAAAATCTATAAGACGTGGAAATTTGAGTAGTGAATTGGTATGATTTGAATAACTGACTTAATGGATGCATCTTGTTTTTGTTGTGAAACGAATGTTTTACTGTTGTTTCCCAAAATCTCAACGTCATGTGTAAACTAAGAGAAAACTATATAATATATGGAGGGCTTTGTTGTATAAAACACCCCTCGCTCTTTTGAGGATGGCAATGCTTTTTGAGACTTTGCTTTGTACATAAGATTTCCAGTTCATTTGACTTCCACAACTAGCATTAAAAATCTAATTTAATTTACTGGTTGAATATTGATTTCATCCAATAAGTCAAATATATCTTTATTTACTACAAACCATAATTTGATTGGATCAATCTTAACTTTATTGTTTGTATTGTGCTACAAAATAAACAAAAATGAAATGAACTGTGTGACAGAAAAGTGGTAAGGGTGTGAATACTTTTCCAGCCACTGAATATCTGTCCAACTAGCAACTCTATCCAAATATGATCTTTTCTCAGATAAAAAGGAAATAAAGTGGAAAATGGATCCAAACGTTTTATGTTTTCGCCTGTGATTAGTTAATAACCAGAACCTCTGACATCATCAAGGCCTGGTCCACTTCTGAGAAAGCTTCACTAATGGCTGACAGGTCAGACCAGATGAGTAAGAGGAAAAAGAAAGCATCTGTTGGCCAAATTATGAAAAATATGTACAGTAGGGCAAAATGTTGGTAAATTGTTAATAAATATATATATATATATAAACAATATTAAGACCAAAGCAGCTGAAACTGATTAACTCCCTCTGCTACTTACCTGACCCAATTAGTATCCCAGAAGTTTAATTAATTTGATGCTATACTCTCATTACAAAGTGTTCCTTTAAATTTTTTGTAGTGTGTATAAAACAATATATATGTAATGAGAGCAAGCGGAGACTGTCAAATCATTTATTTTTATCCATGAACATCCAATAACAGCTGAATCTGAAACATGACTTAACAAAAAGGGGTAATTAGTTCCTGTTAGTTTAGATATTCGCTCCCCTTCATGAACAAACTAATTTCCTCTAAGTTATTGTCTACCATCAATCTGTATCTGATCTAAAGCATTACATCCAATGCAATAAAAGTAAATAAAGCACAAACACACGATACAAGTTTGAATGTATTTAATTGCTGCAGGCTTAGCACGTTCCTAAAAAACATTTAACAATATGCTTTAAATGTACAATATCTTACAGCGCACTACATGTTTATGTCATAATACAACTGTCGGTTGCAGACTCGACAAGAACGCCTCGAAACAATATGAAAAAACTCTTTTCCTAACTGGCTGAACTAAGACAGGCGTAACAGACTAACTGCCTCGGTTTGTCCAGCAGGTCCAGGAAATGAGTCAGAGAAGAAGAGGGAAGGTGTGTTTGGTGTGTCTCAGCATAAAACAAAAAAAAAAAAAAAACAGCAAGGGGATTTTGTACGTAGATCACAGCAAAAAAAAAAAAAAAAAAAAAAAAAGACGAGGAAACAGTTGGATTTCTTAAAATCATTTGCTTCATCGTCCCTGTTTCTTTGTGTTGGAGCAGTGGAGCTGCAGGCAGTGCATCTGGAAGGTTTTAAAGTGTGTAGACATCATTTTGTGTTGATCCAAGCTCTGTTCTGGTCAGTCCTGTTTCCCTTTTCAATTGAAAGGAGTCTGAATTGAGAGAGAAAAAAACATGGACGCCAGAGGTGACAGAGATTTCTGAAGGCCACATCGGAGGAAACCGTGGCGACGTTAATATTTCATTCTGTCCCTTCAATATATTACAAACAAGATTGTGAGTCTGCAAAATATCAGATTTTCATTTTGGACCAGTGCAAAGGAACTTTTTATAATTACATTTCACATTATAGCATTTATGAGCAGAAAACTATCTGCATATAATAATCAATCTGTGCAAGCATTTACAATCTGTACTCTGCTGCAGTCTGCCCTGTTAGCTGATTCGTCTCCAATCATTGGAAGTGTTATGGGAGGGGGTTGGATCTAGTGAATGTGTCTCTGTCTTCTCAGCCCTTAGATGTTTTTTTACTCTTCTACTTGGATTCCTTCTCGGCGTCCAGCAGAGCAGAGCGGATTCCCAGCTTCTTCAGCTCATCCACCAGGTCCCCATTCTGGTGCATCTGAAGCAGGATGTCGCAGCCTCCCACAAACTCGCCATTGAAGTAGACCTGAGGGATGGTGGGCCAGTTGGAAAACACTTTGACTCCTAATGTCACAGATTAAAGAAAAGGAGACAAAAACAATCAGACATAAGCAAGAGAACAATGAAGAAACAACATAAGCTAGTCACTTTACTGAGTATGTAGCACCAGCTGACCTTTGAACTTTGACTTTACAATCTAACAAGATTTTCCCATTTGAAATATCCAGACAAATTTTATGTAAACCAAATAGAATCTTATATTAAGAAAAATAAATTAATTCATCTAATTTTATTTTCATACAAAACATAAATTAAATATACTGATACACACATTCCAAAATCAAAATTAAAAAAATCAAAAACAGTCTTATCTGCCCCTTAATTCATTTTACAAGAACTCTGCATCCGTTACAGTACTTGTCTGCCTTTTCCCAGTTTTCCACATTTAACATTATTTAAAGTATTATTTATGTATTTCAATATCAAAATGTAACACCATCCTTATGCCCATGGACATCCATACATTCCTAGCATTGTAGCTTTTATATGATCATCATTCTTGATTCTTTAATTCCTTGATTAAATCAATTCATCAAATTAATTCCTTGTACTTTGATGATGTGTTCCATAATTTTGGTTTTGAACCTGGCTTAAAAATAAAAAATAAAATACTGTTCCTCTTTGGTTATAGTGACTTTCTCTTTTTTTTTTTAAACCTTTCTTGAATGTTTGCTGGAAATGTTTTCTTATTTGCTTTATCCAAAACCTGGAGAATCTTATGTAACTGTACTTGAGCAGAGGTCTTCAACAGGGGGTCCACAGCCCCTAGGGGGTCCACTGAGGTACTTAATGGGGGTCACAAAAGTTTTGGTTGATTAGCCTTTTTTTTTTATTTCCCCCTGTAATTTTTCCACTAATTGAAATGTCTTTAAATCCACATTTTTATGTATTCAACAGACTGTAGTAAACAGATAATTGGGGGCAGAAGATGTCTTTCAGTCCTCAATGCACACGTTCAGCGACACACAGGAGCTCTTTCAAGCTGGGCACCGTTTCATTCACAACACCTGTCCCATCAACCAGGAATCAGAATCAGAAATACTTTAATAATCCCAGGAAGAAATTACTTTAGTTACATTACTCCATCTATAATAGAGTGCCTATAGGTGCAATTTAATATAACACAATTTCATACTATAGATATACAAAATTAGGACGTCCTCGCTCCATTTCGGCATCAGTTTAGGGGTCCTTGGCCTGGAAAATGTGCAAGACCCCTGTTCTAGAGCATGGAAATAATAAAAAAAAAAAACGCAAGAAAATTTGTTTTAGAAGAATCTCTGTGTCTTGTATTGTTCTGTTGTTACATTTTCAACACCCCTTTTTGCATTATAAATAAACAGCGTGTTTGCATGCTGTTCCTCATACTTCCACACAATAGGATAAGTACAGTATGACTATTGTGTCATAGACAGTAATGCTTAGGGATTTGGAAAAAATTCTACTATATGTAACACAGCTATGGATTTTGCCTTTTTTTGTTTAATTTTATCTAAATATTTCCCACTCCCTCATAACAATAAGACATTTACATCAACTATATGAAAAACATGTTTTTATACCTGCTGTACCTGTTTGACAAAAAAAAAAAAACAACAGGCTTTCCTGATGGGAATATCCAGAAAAAGAAAGAATTTAATCACAAAACAAACAAAAGTAAAAGCCCAAGATAATTGACAGAAAACACTGACTGAAAGGCCACTCAGAGAGGAAGAAGCCATTGTTTTGAAAGCAAGATAAGAAAAACGCCAGATTACAGTTCTGAAAATGCGCTCAGGGAAAACGACTTTAACTTTTGGAGAAAATGCTCAGCGTGTGATGAAACTGTTTGATTATGATGATCATATTTTACTGAAACAAATGAGGGCAGCTAGAGACCTGAGAGCTCATTTGAGAACAACATCTGGGATCAATGTCTCTCCTCTCAACCCTGAGAGTTAGATTGTTGGAGAAATAAAGTTTCTCATCCCATCTATGGTGCTTGGTTGGTTTGAGGGAACCGCACCCTTTGGTACAGCTGCTGCTGGACACTGATAAAAGCCAAACGTTTGGAGATACAGAGGCAGAGCTGATCTGAGGGACATGATCGTTGGGTTAATGGAAACATGGAAGCAAACCTAACACAGAGAGAAAAAAATACAGACTGCCTGATTTAATTAGAAGGAGCAAATTTAATTAAAAGACCATCAGAGATGCCAAGTTGTCCATCATGCTAGACTCAACTGGTCCCAGCTTACTGACCTTCCCTCAGCTCCTGGTCCTCCAGGACGTTATAAGAAGAGTACTGGTCCACCCCATGCATCCGGAGGATCTGCACCACGGCGTTGCTAAAGCCGCACATTGGCTGAGCGGGGGTCCCCTTCATAAACACCACAACCTTGTCCTTCTTCACCAGCTCGCCAAGGTCCTTCTGGACGTCCGCCGCCGAGCAGAGGAACCGGGCCGAGGCCGCTCCAACACGTCCGTCGGCCGTCCTGAGTAAGCACGCGGCCGCGCCGGAACGTAAACACCTGCCAGTAGATCTTATTAAACTATTCATGGTACAATTTAGAGCTTTTAACTGTTAGGGACAAATAAACAGCTCGCTACAGGACAAGTTGGGGTCTGTTTGAGAGAAACTCACGGGGCAACAGAGAGTTCAAGCTTGCTGGGCGGGATCTAGATGCTGATTGGACGGCTGAATGACGTCAAACTTTCATTTGATCTGCTATTGGCCAGACCCAACATCAGTCAAAGTGCATTAACGTCAACAAACGTGGGTTGTGTAAGGAAAAACAATTTAAAATAAGGGATTTACTCTTTTTTAAAACAATTTGCTCTAAAAGAAACGTTTTAAATCGTGTGATTTATATTTAATTTCGTAAATATATATATTTACATCAGAAAAAGAAAAAAAAAACGTCGACCAGGGGTCATTTAACAGCTTCCGGGTTGAGGTGCGCAGAAAGGAAGAACACCACCAGGGCAACTTCGAAAGATGGCGGCGCACACGCAGAAAAATAACAAACCACCGAAATCAGGGGGGAAAGAGGCTCAGCCGCTGATTCTCCCAAAAACCCCTGCGGATGAGCAACGGCTGAAGTTGGAGCGGCTCATGAGAAACCCCGACAAGCCCGCTCCCATCCCGGAGAGGCCGAAGGAGTGGAACCCTCGCGCCCCGCCGGAGTTCGTCCGGGACGTGATGGGCTCCAGCGCGGGCGCAGGCAGCGGTGAGTTCCACGTTTACCGCCACCTCCGCCGCAGAGAGTACCAGAGGCAGGACTTTCTGGATAAAATGGCAGAGAAGCAGGACAAGGACGTGGACTACCTGAAGAAAATAGAGCAGAACAGAAAGGCAGCAGAGGAGCGAACCGCGAAGCGAAGGAAGAAGCGGGAAAAGCTAAAGCAGAAGAAGCTTCTAGCAAAGAAGGCTAAGATGGAGGATAAAGACGGTAAGGAAGGAGATACGGACTCTGACAGCAGCGGAGAGGAGGAGGGGAAGGAGGAGAGTGGAACAGAAGAGGAAAAAGAAGATGACGCGGAGGCTCCAAGCTTCGTTATGGGGAGGAAATGAACAATATGATGAAATGGCATCAGCAGGGTTAGAAGAAAGACGTGGGGTTTGTGCACCATATAAATGTTTTAACATCAAATCTGCCAGAATAACGCATCATAAGTTTGAAAAAGGTTAATTTAATCAGTTTCATTGTTTACTCCAGAGGACTGAAGCAGCTTTGGATTTTTCATCAGATTTTTCATCTGTTTGGACATGGATGTGTTTTAGATTAAAATAAACACCTGATCAAATTGTTAAAACCTGGAATTAAATAGTTGTTTTTGACTGTTTGCTAGTATTGGTTCCCTTAATAAAAAGCATAGTCTTATTGCCAACTTGACCTTTTTGTTTTTTTGCATTGGGGAGGTAAAATAACTTTAGAAAAACTATAGACAATATGTTGCTGGCTGCACACTGCTGATCAGCTGGGTTCACATCAGCCTTTTACATTTCATAAAGACTAGAACAACAAAAATCTGTAATAATCTGTATGTTGAACATTTATGTTATCACAAAACGTGGAAATTATTACTGAAATCTGTCAGATAAGACATCTCATAGATAACTGGTTATGTGTTTCAGCAGGATTGATTAGGCTGTTTGATGGAGCCTACTCCATAAAACGGCTCCACCCCCTGTTTCAGGCCTGGGGGGGAAACAGCCCTATTCTTTGCTCCTGTTCATGCATATCAAGCGCTATGTTTCCTGCCGAGGTCTGAGTCTCAAAGACGATGTTATTGTATCAATACATTTTCCTAATTGTCTTTTTTCTTCATGTGAGGTTTTCAGATTAAAATACATTTTGGGGAAAAATGTCTTAAACTGGTGTTTGAACTCTTGTCCTGTGTCTCTGCAGCCTTGTCATTCAGCCCTGGGTGACCTCCCATCACCTTTGGGCTCAACAAGGCTGCAAAAAACAACTCAAAGAATGAAAAGGCGCGGCTCCTGCAGGATTGGGAGTTCTGCGTGCGATGTTCCTTGGACAGACGCCTGCCTCCCACGGTGGTGTTGGCCGGTCTCTGTGGCCGTCACCTTTCTTGAGGCAGGTAGAGTAAAACCAGGCAGCCAGATATTGTTTGGACCAGGGGAAGCTTTGCCTGTCAGACACTGTCCGCTGCCACAAGAATAGCTTCTATTCTGATTTTTAGGTTTTACTTTTTCTTGTTGAATCTGTAAATAATAAAACATTTCAACTCGTAAGTCTCATAAGGTTTTTGTGTTTTTTTTTCTGCCTCTTTCAGCAGTAAATGTGACATTTCTTGACACACATCTGGATGTGGTGGTTTTTAATGTCTTTTGTTTTTTTTGCATGACAACTTACACATTTTTAAACATTCGTGTTCATGTTAAAAAAAATCTGATTAATCATATTATGAATCAAATGGGTTTTTTTTTTGTCTCTAGAATATCATTTTTTTTTTGTTTTCTACAGATGGAAGCATTAAAATTTTTAACAAAGAGATGATTTAGTAAACCTTTTATTTGGCTTATTTCTCAGATGAAACCTTTTTGTAAAAAGCAACTTTGGCAGATATTAAGCCTTTTTTCATTAAGGTCCCATTTCTGCTTAATTTTCTTAGTGTTTTATATTTTAACCTTAGATGTGATATTTTTGTTGACTGTAAGCTCAGAATAATAAAAAATAAGGACAGATATATGTTAATCGTAATCTGTGTTGCTATCCTACATCTATATGTAACACTACTTATTGACTATAACTAAATGTTTCCTTTTAACCTTTTCATATATTGTCATTTTCAAACACTGCCCTTTATGTTGATTGTTATTCTTAATACAAACTGGTCCATTGTTGTGGAAAAAAAGGAAAAGATGGAAATGGGGAAACTAGAGCTGTTGCTCAATGTGTGAAACATTGATGCTGGTCATCACATCAATTTGAGAAATATGCAGAAAACAAGAAGACTCACAATCTCCATCAAAACAAGAATCAACATCCTCCACAGCAAGTGGCCGGTATGCATACCGCACCTTTTTCAGGATCTTCCATTTTCTGCTGATACAATTAACACAATAAAACATGTTTTTATTACTTTCTACTAGTCTAGAAAAACTCTGTAATACTTCAACATGTCAGAAACAACTTATTGGTTGAGTTAGAACATCAACAAGAATCTGACTGGTTTTCCATAAAGACTAGAAAAAACTAAACTCTGTAAAAGAAGGCTTCAATGGGGAAGGGACAGAGTAATAAATGCAAGTATGCTATATTTAAATTTTAAAAAGTCATTGTCATTCAGAATTATTCTGATCCAAGTCCAGCTGTTCTTGGAAAGGTCAGAGGTTTGTTAGAGAACCTTAAAGAACAAACTGCACAGCAGACATGTCTGGGAGGAACTAGTCTGGAGATTTAAGACAACTGAAAATCTTTTCTGTTTACATTTTGAGCTTAAAGTTATTTAATCTGAGGTGATTTGCAAAGATAAACCTTTTCATCTCTAGATACTTTCCTCCTAAGAAGGCTTACAGCTATAATATCAGGTAAAAAAATCCACAAGTGTTTCAGTGGAGAGCTGAACATAAAAACATGTTACAGCTTTCAGATATTAGGAGGCTTATAAAAGCAGGAAAAATTAACTTGAGAAAACAAGATATTGAAAATGGATAAAAAGCTTCATTCTTTTGGGGGGGGGGTATACATTTTATAGATTTAAATAATTTACTGTCGCATCATCCTGGCAGAAAAAAAACAAACAAAAAAAACACCTTTATATTCAAACTAGATCCAGTCGGTGTGTAATGTGGTTAAGGTCAAGTCATATTTCACATAAAGCAGAAGTGCACCCAGTGTGGTTAGTGTGGGTTACCGTGCGTCTCATGGATCAGTGATGACAGGAAAACTGAATCAGAACAGGCGTCAGTTTTAAGGTGATTCATAATGTGGGTCTCTCCACAGAAACCACTGCTGTCTGCTTGAAATAACACTGCATAAAGTGAACTATAATTATAGTTTTCTTAAAATAGTGAAGTTGGAAAGTAATATGATCTGTTAAACTAATAAGGTTTTCGCACCCAAAACAAGTAAAAAAATATCTATACTAATTGAATTGGTAGATAATTTTACTTGCCTGCAAAAATTAAGAGCAAATATACTTATTTCAATAAATCTTTCACCTGTTTTAGAGTGTAATGAATCTTAGGAAGGGGAGCCATTGCTTTGCTTTCTTGTTTTAGTTTTTTATAGTGCATATGTGAGATTCTTTTAAAGTCACAATCTAGATGTTGAGATGTTCTGTCTTTCAATACGTCTGCAGCTAATAGCCCTTTTCCCTTCATGAAATCTGTGACTTCTGTAGTTGTGGAGAGTGCGTTGGCATGTCAGCTGCCACATATCCTCCCTGTATGCTGATTCATCTCCTCTGTTGATCAATAGCACTGCTGATGTGTTTTATGCAAAATATGTTTTTAACATTTTCATAAGATGGAAGACTGCAGTTATTAGTGTAGATGAAATATAAAGGAGCTGAAAGCACAGCCTTGGGGTTCTCCTCGATGCCTAGGGGCCAACCTTAGGAATTGGTCTCCTAAATCACCCATTAACTGGGGTTTCTTGGTAAAAATCTTTCTAGTTTTTTTTTTATTCTGGTATTACACAACTGTGGCACATAGTCATAACTTCTTGTCTCTGCTTTAAAAATAAATCATGTTATGTTACTATGGTAATTATTTTGATTAAGCACATCACAGAGAACAAGATCTGTCTTCAGATTGGATTATTTACAGCAGAGGTCTTCAACAGGGGGTCCGCGACCCCTATGGGGTCCACTGAGGTACTGCATGGGGGTCACTAAAGCTTTGGTTGATTATACTTTTTTTTTTATATTCCCCCCTGTAATT